GGAAACCAGCCACGTACCTTGTCACTGCAAAACCTTTGCTCAAGTTGATTGCTTTGCCTAAAATGCCTTTTCCTATTTATGCCCCTGACAAAGATTCTTTTCTTGGCCAAACTTTAGCCAAGTTCCTGAACCTTGTCCTAGGCCCATCTGTGTACTTTCCTGTAAAGTCCAGTTATATCAAACAACCCCGCTAAGTCCATTTGGCTAGAATCCCCCACCATCAATGTCTGATCAGGTTCCTCATCCTCCACTGAACTCCAGGTGATGTCTGATCATCTTGACTTGTCTTCAGCAAGACTCCTGTTAGGTTGGTTTAGCCACAAACCCCCTTACCCCCAATGTTTCCTTTTAGTAAGTTTCTATCCACTGACCCCCGTCTTGCTCTTTGCTATAAATTTCTGCTTGCCCATGCCGTATTGAGAGTTGAACCCAGTCTCTCTCCCCCATTACAAGCACCTGTTGCAATAATTCCTATACCTATCGCAATGGTCTTGAATACAATCTTGAATACAGCCTGCCTTCCTGAGTTTTACCAGGTATCCTTGAATAATTTTTTCTTTACCCCCCCACTAATTTAGGTATCCTTCAGGACTCACCTCTAACATTGCCATCTCTATGCAGTTTCCCCAAATCCCCCAAGTACAGTGAGATGTTGTTCTTTCTTCCAGTGATACAGTAGCACCAATAACATTGGCCACTTTGTATCGATAATTTTTTGCAACTCTGCTCCCCACAGCTTTGAGTTCATTTGAGTTCATTTAGGGCACATGGTTATTCTTGTATCTCTAAAGTACCTGGTACATGAAAGCTTAATAAAATAATTACTAAACCCATCTATTTATTAAACAAAGTTACTGAATGTCTACTATATAATAGGTGTTAAAGATTCTGAGATCATTTGTACAGCTCACTGGATGATGGAGAAAGCAGACACAGAAACAAAGTATGATGTTATAATGTATAATACTTTTCTGTCTACTGAATGAAAATATTTGATATTCCCACCAAGTATGTAGATTTGGAACCACGAGGTGCTAGGGTATAACATTATTATTTATGGCATGGAAATCCTGGACAAATCTCCATCCTCAACCATTAGGTTTTCTTACTGGGAGAATAGGATTGTTACAGGGGCTGGTACAGGGAATTATTAGGCATTGAGTTTTCTATTCTTCAATAATGGGCCTTATGACTTGTAAGGCAGTTTGGCTGAAGAGATATTGTTTAATACTAGGCAACTTGGTTTGGTTGGATCAATTTAGATTTTGATCAGGGGTGTGCTATGGATTCTGTCAACATCTGTTGATGATGTGGCTCATAAAGAGGGAGGTATCTGTGCCAAAAGGGAACTCTGGGACTCAGTGGGGAGGTCTTTGGTGCCTGAAACAGCATAACAAGAGTGGGACATTATTGGTGGGATCCAGCAGGCTATTAGGTTTATCAAATTCCAAAATTATTTTTCCCTTTAGGGACAAAGAGTTGCCAGATATTTTTCTAATCTCATCCTACTAAACAAGCAAGAATAGATTCTACTAGGAAGAGGGGATGACTATCTTATAAAGGCCCAAGATGAAAAGCAATGGGCTGGGCCAGAAAAGCTGCCAGTGGTTTATTAGAAACTCTCACCATATGAATCCTTTCATTACTCTAAGGCAGGGGCTGGTTGAGGTTAGTGGAGTTGAGCACTGATAAGGTTGCTCTTGTGTCTATGAGAACAGTGAGGACCTCATTGCCAATTTGAAGAGAGGTCTCCTCAAGGGCATTAAAGGGAAGAATTGGAGGCCGGAGCGG